AATTATCACTTCACGGGATTTTTGCAGCAAAATCTTTTTAAAACGGTAAATAAGAACGCTTTTTTACTTGACTTGGCGGGGGCACTGCCGTGTCCCCAGATATTTACCCTCCCGACGTTTCAACTCGGTTGCACGAGTCATGGTCGCGGGCATAGTGAAAAATGCAACATAATATATAGTTTAAAATATTATATGAGGAAGTACTTCGAGAAAAGTTGGGTAAAGGGGTCCCCTGTGCCAGTGCCCTTCCGTTGTCTCGTTTTGGCAGGGCACTGCTGTGTTCCCAGATGGAAGAATAAACTATAAAAAGCGGAAAATCGACGAGGGAACCACTGTAGGTACTTAAGCATGCATATAGACTAACTAAACTAACTTAAAATATTCAAAGTGAGTTTATGCAGGTGACTGTAGCTACTTCCTACTTATTGGTTTGGCATGACAGTTTCTATGAACATTCGAGTGGTTATCTTGCAAAAAGTCTGTCAAAACGCTGTAGTATTTATAAAATATTATTATTGTACCAAAATTAACAATAACTAACTCTAATGCCGAAACTTTGTGTTGTTTTGTATTTCGCCAATGCACGTGTTATGTGTAACGAACTGTAAAGGAACATTGTAAGTAACCTAGAACTCTAAATAACAATAAATCTTCGTTTTCCCAGTCAGTTTGTAACTACGGTCAGTGTTACTCAATCGAATTACTGAGTAAACATTGTATGATTTAAGCATGTGGTATCGCTTTATACCAACCTATCACGTTTCATTCTAACCCAAGTCACCTCCTAAGGTCATCATCATCATCATCATTTTAGCCATAGGACGTCCACTGCTGAACATAGGCCTCCCCCAATGCTTTTCCATGTTGATCGATTAGTAGCGGCCTGCGTCCAGCGCTTCCCTGCTACCTTTACGATGTCGTCGGTCCACCTTGTAGGTCCCTCCTAAGGTACTAAGATAGAACGGCAATGTCGGCAATATTAAGATACTTAAAGCGGCAGAATATCATCATCATCACCATTTCAGCCATATTACATCCACTGCACATAGGCTCCCCCAATGATTTCCGTAATGACCGGTTGGTAGCGGCCTGCATCCAGCGCCTTCCTGCTACCTTTATGGGGTTGTCGGTCTACCTTGTGGGAGGACGTCCTACGCTGCGTTTTCCTGTACGCGTTCCCTCCACTCTAGAACCATGCTGCCCCATCGGCCGTCAGTTCTACATACTATGTGCCCTGCTCATTGCCACTTCAGGCAGAATATACTTCTTGTATATTCTACTATAGTGATTGCATCACTATAGCAACTTTTCTGTGTACGCAACACTATTATGGGCACATCCGATATTCAAAACAACACCACCAAGGATGTATGTATGGTGAAAGTCATAACATCTTGTGGTTTTATACGCCAAGGGAAAGGGAACGCATAAAAGTGAAGGGCGTGTAAATTATGGATTAAAAATTATGCCCTCGTAATTTATTTTCCGAGAAGTTTACAGATGGCCAAATTGCTTTATGGATGTATCTATGCAAGAGGTGGTACGACATGAAAAGCGTAATTAAATAGTTAATGAGTTTTTATTTGAATTATTTATTAGACTGCTAAGCAATATTGAACACTAAGCTTCCTTAATATCTTTTTGCTTTTACGAAAATTCTCGTCTAATCTTGTCTTTTCCCAAGAAAAATTAAAATGACAAGACTTTCAGACGTTTTGGTACAGTTTAGTGTCGCAAATGCGAAGCTGAGGCACGCCACCAGTTGACTGATATCAACTAGTCCAGCGAAAACTTACACAACTCATGTTTTTTGCGAAATTGCCAAATATCCAACATTATGCTTTGCAAACGAACCAGAAATGTCACATTTCGAGACGACAATATTCTGTGATGTTGAAAAAAGTCCAGTTTGGCAAGTTCTTTTTGTCGTATTGATTCAGCAATTGATTAGCGACGGTCCTCTATTAAACCAATATTAGGTTTGTTCGGGCGTTGCGCCCGCGCACAGAAAATGCGCACGCAGTGAGCCGGAAAGAAAAACTGTTAAGTGCTTTCACTTTCGTTATTTTATGCTTAAATAAGTCGTTTTTCTGCGATAAGGCTGTGTGTAGCAGCTTTCTTTTAATTCACTTATTGACACACCATGAAATAAGGGGATTATGTAAAAATTGGAAAAAAACAGCGTCTACAAAAACACATTATGAAAAGTTTTTATGAATAAGTACATACTTAGAAAGTGATTTAAAAAATAGTTACATACTTTCAATACCTTCGGCAACAAATCTTCAGTTGCATTTTTAGGTCAAAATATTAATACTAAGGCTGAGTTGCGCCACCTTATTTTCACCGTAACTTTGACTATAACCGGTGTTTTTTGTATGGAGTTTGACAGATTTTTGACGTTTGTCAAAGTTAAAGTAAGATGGTGCAACTCAGCCTAAAACTTCATGCAACTAACCTTCAATTGCAGTTTTAGGTCAAAATATAGTGAATAAAACCTTCTAATAGATACGTCACTGTGAATATCTGAGTGACCTACTATCGCAACGTAATTTACTGCCCATTGTCTTACATCATCCTTCGTAAGCTATTATTTTATTGCTAATTCCAACTTTTAATTAAAACCTTCATTTAAATTCTTTCATTCAAGCACTAACTCATTCATTACTACGAAAAATATGTTCAGTTGATTGCTAATTCATTGTAATATTCACTTAGAAAATATGAAATAGGTACGGGGTCACTTTAATGAATTAATTTATGTTTCCAGTGACCTATCCAAACACATAAAGATGTAGCTCTGACAGTTATATTCAGATTATAACACATATTTATAACAAATGGCATATGAAAAGGCTATTAGCTTATTAATCCACCCATTATTATCACATTTTACGTCATTGTGCAACCAAACACATGTTAACAGATCTGTCAAACCGATATGCATTTGCAACCGGGTGATTTAGATTATTGTGACTTGTTGCATAAACTCGTTATGTAAAGTTACAGTTGCATATTGTTGAACCTTAATAACGTCTTCATATAGCAAGGTCTGTGTGTGTAACTATGTACAGTGCAGTGCACCGTTATGCAAAACGAACACTAAGTGCAATGGTAGGAGAAAAAGTAAAAAGAATAGCTCTAGGACTTAAACTTTCTTCTGTAACCGCAAAAGACACTTTTTTTTAAGCAAAAAGAGAAATAGTTTTCTGCGTTTCTAGTTTTAATTAAAGTAAAGGAGTCACTAGTATAAATGGGAATAATATTAAGCTTATTATGTTCTACAGTCAGCGACGCGTCAAATATGTTCGTGACACCCAAAGTGCTCAAAAAGTTCGCAATATGTCTTTGTTGAAGATTGTGTTGTAAACTTTTTGGCTACTTTGGGTGTCACGAACAATTTGACGCTAACTGTCTGACCTATAAGAAGTTAAGTACCTATAAGAAATGATGATAATTCCGAAAACACGAATTTTGTTATCAACAAACTTGTGACTCAAGCAAGCGTTCGTTCATCGGTACCAAAGATATTTGACATTGACAATATACCTAACGATAACGTAATTTCTATGAATAAAAACGTATTCGTTTATTTTGGGCAATTAAAAGCCGTAGCCTTTGAATATTTAGATTCACACGGACGTAAAAGGGAGGAAACACAAACTAATTAGTAACCAAAAGAGGTCATAGTTTTAATGTTTAACTAAAGAACACTTTGTCATTATTTAAAATAACAATGGCACTTTTTACGAAGTACGGACGTCTAAAACGTGTTTCGAGTTTGATTATTACAAGCCAAAAGAGAAAAGTCAACACATAAAACCTTGAAAAAGAAACAAGCTCGACAAATTCAAGTGCCAATTTTAATTCAAAAGGACTCGCGTATCATAATAATCTGAATATCGAAACAGATATTGATTCTAAATGATCTAGAATGAGAGGCGTCACGAACGCTTCACGATTTGACAAGGCTATCAATACTTTAAAAGATTTATCAAAAAGGAAAATAAATAGAAAAGGTATCGATGAATAGCAGGATTATCAACTAGATATTATTGATTTATCTGTATATGTATGTATAGCTCCTGTAAGTTTCTGTGAGAATTGAGCTGGCTGTAGTTCACTAGCTTTGTTACCGGCTTGTCTTGTCCAAACGAGACAATAAGAGTCGGACTCCGTTTCCGCTATTAATGATTTTGATCAGTAGGTCAAGGAACCGGCTGTGGCGAAACCATTTCTATACTATACATTTCGCCTTCCAATTTTAAGTATGCTTTTGCACTAGATATTTCCGCTGACTCGCTTTTTATTGTACCCGTATTAGTATTCAGGGTCATAACTATAACATTTTGCGTTTGCGTTTTTCAAAGTCGGAATATTCGTAGTTCTGTAACGTCTACCAATTCAATTATTATCTACTTGTTTCTGACCTTTACCCGATAGCCTTTATTATTAATTAATTTTGTTTCAGTATCTTGTTTTCCAGTGTTGTTGTTTCATTTCTTATCAATTTCATTTACTTTAATATTGGTTGTGTATTTTATAGATAAGTTGTTTTGTCTGGCATCGATAGTTTTCGCTGGAAATTCAACATCACTGCTGTTCTAGTTTTTACAACCAACCCTAAATACATATTTATTATGTCTAGACGACATACTTATCCTATTGTCTTAAGTTTTTTGCTTGTCTGCTGGGTTTTATGAGGGTACTTAGTCAGGTTTAAGTACAGGTAAATTACATTATTGTGCTTTAGGGCACAATATATTAAAAGTTTGAGGCAAGTGCAGATTTATGTCGACGCTATTGTAGTTTTCAAAGACATTATGTCCAACAAAAACATAACTAGGTACCTAACTTGATTTATGTCATGATTCTTTTAATCGGTTCCACTTAATTCTGAGATTCTTATTCGAGTAGTCCATTCCGTTATAACGCTAAAGTTCCGATGTCAAAAGATAGGTAAATTGAATAGCAAAAAGAAAAGTCATGCCAAAACTTACAGTTTTAGAGTATCCGCTGCAAGCGCTGCCATCGGAAGAATTGCTCAATCTCCTCTCACTGTTGGAAGCCGGCGGCGACCACGCCGAGCCACTGTCTGACGGCATTTCGGAAACCACCAGAACCGTCTCACATCATAGCTGAACCATACACTAACGTTATAACCGTTTCACAACACTAACACTTCACTTTGCTTCGTCTCCGCTGTCCATTATGCGCCTCCTTTACCTGTAAAAAGAAAAGGAGCGATCAAATTAAGGCCCAGGTAGATCCCGAATTAGATTGGGATAAAAAATCCGAATTTAGAATCCACGATTACTCTCACTGATAGCAACGCGTAAACCGTTGAGCAATCTAAACATTTGTGCAATGAAATAAAACACAAACGCAATCCGAGATATACAACATGTCTCAATCGTAGAACTCGAACGTGGAGGTTTTTTTCTATGGCGTCCACAAATCTGACCATTCACAAAGGCTATCGCAATATCCCTTATGTAACGTTCACATCAATCAGCACAATAGCATAATAATGAGTGCATTAATTACCCGAATATCAGAATACCACGGATGACCGATTCGCGACAATAACACGGGAACAATAAAGTTGACAATCGTTCGGATATTTAACGCGAATAGCCGTTATTGACAACGTCCCGTGCGTCCGAAGCGCGTGGCGTCGCGGGCGAGACTGGCGCGGCGCGCGGTGATGAGCGTTCAGCGTGCGCCCGCGCCGACCAGATAACAATTTCTTAATCGATAACGCGTTATTATTAGGTACCTACAATAAACTATTTTCTTTCGCAACATATGGTTTAAGTTTTATTGCATTTTTTGCCAGCTACTGCAATGGGAATTGAATCAACGATTCTATTCGGTTACCTTTTTTGGCAGTCGCAGCTGTAGTCAGGTTTAGAATCGATCAGTAATACTTTTCGATTTCACGTGGAACTTGTTTTAAATTTATGCGTCTTCTACGCGAATTTTAATAACTTCCAGTCACTGAGAACTGCAGCTGTTTTTAAAATATTGGATTTTTCGAAGGATTTGCAGACAGGCGCCAAAAATCCCAGAGGTGTTATCTCGAAAGCTGCTAAATTTTATTGTGAATACTGGCAATATTGCAGTTACCTGCGCGTAATGTCCTTTGTTATTGTGAATCCATTGACAAAGCAGGTACAGGTTTCGAATGGGCAATGAGAGCTGCCAGAAAAAAGGGTGCTCGGCAAACTGTGACCAAGGGCACAATTTTATTACATCTGGCGTCCATTACATTGAATATAAACACTGGCAATTGTTTAGTTTTCATGCTACGTGGACGATAGCATTGAACTGATGTTTAATAATATGTTGTGGCTGTGATAATGGGAAAATTGCTTGAATCATTATCTCGAAAATGTTAATAGATTCTATTGTATAAGACTCATAAATTGAATCCGAATTGATTCTCCTTAGCTACCGTGCATCATTGAAGTAGTCTACAAACAAGTTCAAGTACGTTCATTGACATGCAAATTCATGTGTCGAAAGGATTCGCTTTTGGCATGGTAGGGGGCAATCAGCCACACCGGTCCAGACAATCTGACCCTCAAAATTCGTCGAATCGCGCCCCACATTCGTTTATCTCGCATCTGGGGCCGGATTATAATACTATTGCCTCGTGATCCATTACCCATTGAATTGAGACTGCGCCGGCGCAATGTGACAAGCTCGCGCGTGGAGAAATGACACCATTTTGCGCCGTCATGTGACCATGCTGTAAAAATATTGCTGGCAGAGCACTTTCACAATGGTTTGGTGATAGTAGCGTGCAAGCTTGTCATGTTAATGCGGCTACAACGGATACTGATAAGTACAGCTGTAGTAGATTCTCTCGTAGAGCAGAGTGACTTTTGCTTGAAGCTCGCTCTGTCATAGATCGCATCTGCACCATTCTGGTGAGTATGTGAATGAATGGGTTGGCCTTTCAATATATGCAATCTTGATCATTGGCACTATTTCTGATAACGGTACTAGATGTAAGTCTTCCTTAGTCATATAGCACGGTCTCCTACTTTTTTCGTCTACTGTCTCAGCAGTCCTTTTAATAAAATAAGTGAGAAGAATGACAGTGTTTAGGAGCTGCAAATGGACAGATTTTCCAGAAATGTGGTTTTGCAACATTGTTTTTACTTTAAAAACACAAAGTAAAAGGCTAAAGATCACTCTCAATGCAAAATATGGATGATTCATTCAAACACAGAAAAGTTTTTGCCAAATTTCAAATACCTAACAGTGCTAGACTATTACGTAGTTACGTAAAAACATACTTTGCATATGTGAGGTTAAGCCTGAAGGTCATAGATGTTATTGTATATTTTTAAATTCAAAATCAGTTTCAGTTTCAATTTCTATATCGTAAAAAACTGTATTCTTGTAAGGTTATGTGTAATAGCGATGCAAAAACAGGAAGTTGGCTTCATGTTTTGGCCGTGAACGTTTGGAAAACTTGAAAAATATATTATTTTGCAACTACATATGTGAATATTTTCTTTCATGGGCGTGTATGACTATGAATAGACCCTCTATTTACATTCGGCAGCTAGAATAATGCCAAATGTAAAAATACCATTTACGGTAGACTACATAAAAACGTCATATTATCAAGGTAGACTGTGGCATCTTTTAATTATTTATTTGTTATAAGATCATCCACTTTCAACCAAAAATGTATATCTATTTAAGAAACAAACGCTGGCCCTAACTGCGTTACACTTGAAAATTTCGACGGGTTCATCCAGTGTCTAAGCAGTTCAGTTGGAAGAGCAGTCGCCCGGTAAGCGGAAGGTCGTGGGTTCAATTCCCGCCTTAGGCAGTTCAATTTTTAAGTTATTTATAATTTTCAAAATGTATACTTTGATATGCTGTCAGCATAAAGTCAAGTCAAAATAAAGTCAATCATTGGATTCTTTGTGATAGAACGCATGACTTGAACTGGGTAGCTGGAAGTGCTGCACATAGTTCATAGTATAGTGGCATAAGGTTTCCTTACATAATACGACATCAAAGCTATATCTCGACATGCCGAAGCGTGGTTGCCCTAATCATGGGACACTTTCTACACAATGTTACACCACAACCCGTAGCACGATAACAGCTGAAATACAGCCCGAATTGCCGCCTCTATTGTTACAGAAGTAAGGTTCAAGTTTATATCATTAAGCAGCCAGGTTTAGGTCACCCAGGATAAAGACAAAGGTCTAGCGAGAGAAATCGCTCGGGCGTCCTTATTTGAGGATTTATGTAATAGGAAACTATTAGTAACTGGTGTCAACGCATACTTGGCTTGGAACCACTTTGGGTCATATTTTGAAGGGTCAACAAAACTGTTCTCAAACTCAAATCAGTTTTGAGTGCAGATTAAAAATTAACAGTCATCACGTTCGGATTTTAATTCCAGCAACAGAAACTGAGATTGAAATCCAGAATGCAGCTTACCAGAACAAGCGAAGTCGTGTTGTAAACTATAGCATATGAGTTAAACCCTTCAACTAATCTATTATGGAATGAGTGGATTGATAACAAGTCCATTGATCTACGAGGACTGACACTCTTTTTCAAGGCGAGAGTGAATAGGCACTTACAGGGCACATATGTACCGTCCTAGACTGCATCTTACTTACTAGGTACGATTGCGGTAAAATATCTGCATGTCCTGCATAAAAAATGACCGATCGACCAGCAGATCAAGCGCCGCAAGTGGAACTGGATTGGCCACACTCTCCAAAGGGACCCCGATCACATCCCTAAGCAGGCTCTGGATTGGTTTGGAACCCCCAAGGAAAACGCAAACGTAGTCGCCCCAAGCAAACTTGGCGGCGCACTGTAGTAGACGAGGCGAAGAAAATCGACAAGACCTGGAGCGAGATCAAGCGCGAAGCTAAAGACCGAACGCGATGGAGGACTGTTGTGGACGCCCTCTGCCCCATCTAGGGGACATAGGACCTTAAGTCAATTAAGTCAAGTCCTGCATAAAAAAAAATCCTATGCCTAAGCAAGCACCGCTATTTGTCACTATCAGATAGAAGTCTGTAAATCCATACTTACACAAAGAAAGATTATGGGACAATGTGTATAGAACTAAAAGCAGGGGTAAGTAAACATTATAAATTACTAGCTTTCCGCCCTCGGCTTCGCACGCGTGGAATTTTGTCTGTCACAAAGAGTGACAGAAAAACTGCATCGCGCGCGTCCCTGTTTCAAAAACTGGGATAAAAACTATCCTATGTCCTTTCCCGGGACTCAAACTATCTCTATGCCAAATTTCATCAAAATCGGTTCAGTGGTTTTGGCGTGAAAGAGAGACAGACAGACAGAGTTACTTTCGCATTTATAATATTAGTACAGAAGTATAGATTGTTAATTGGTAAACAACTTCGAGTTAAAATGTCTTCTTTCACATCCATTAACGCTTGTCCTTCATGATTATCATATCCTGCTTATTACTGAGTAAATAAAAAATTGCCCAGCAATTAATACCGGGTGACATTTAAAAGAATCTCAGCTATCGTAAAAGGAGGAGGCAAGGTCGACCAGTAACATATAAGAGAATGCACACATGCATGCAATATAAATCAACAAAGCAGTTTTTGAGAGTGGAATTTTTTGCAGTTTCTGCATCAACATATTATAAAAGTTCTTAAAACAATGTCAGTAAAATCTATAGTAGCAAATGATTTTTTTACGGTTGAATGCACTATTTTATAAGACTTTAAAATGAATGTTATGCGACTGATATTGCAGTAATAACGTAACTATACTTTGATTTTGGTTTATAAAGAAGGTTATTGATACATTTACAGTGATCCAAGACAAATTATTTTAAGGCAGAAATTATGATACAAAATTAGTTTTAATTTAAGCAGCGTACCCAAAAATCTTAATTCTTACATGCCATATGACTTATAAAACCATTAATGTGCCATTTCAGAAGCGTCAAACTTGAGAAAGATAAATTAAAGTATCGCATTCAAAGAATCTTCAATTAATTAAAATCAAAAAATGAAAATCAAAAATATTTATTCAGTTTAGACCACAAGTGGCACTTACGAACGTCAAATATAGCAAACAATCAAAAGAAAAGGTAGCCCTTATGAGGCACTTTACATGTCTCCTTATCTTTTGGGCTCTACCAGCGCTTCAGTAGTTATCAATATCGCATAGAGTTTTAACTGATTAATTTCAATTAGATACTCCATTGTTGCTTTGTACAACTATCGAGGTATTTAGGTATAATCTCAGGCAGACACAAATGAGTCAGGGCAATGCCCTCTTACAGATAACGAGCAAACACTGTCGCAATTTCTAGACTCACTAGGCCATGCTGATAAAGACTAGTGTTTATCTAGATTTGAGTCTACATTTATCATAATCACATGCCTGTCCTGTTTGTTTACCACTAGTTTCTGCCTGTGACTTCGCTCGCTTGGATTTCATGTATAGATGTCCAGTTATCAGATATTATTTTTATCTTAATTTTAGAGCATGTCCCTGTTAACCAGCCTAAGGAAAAAAACATTTTAAACCCATAAGGGTTAAAACACTTGAGTAAGTCAGTGTTCCGCAAACTTTTTGTGTTCAAGGTACATCTATAAAAACCAAATTTTTAGAGGTACACCACAAATTAGAAATTAGTTTTTTTAAGTAATCTTACCCTTACTTACTA